GTAGTACTTCACCGAAAGAGCAGCAACAACATCTAGTTGGATTATTTAATAAGCCGGAGCATAATCTAGATGTATCTGATTTAGTAATCTGTAGGATATGCGAGGAAGGTGTTACTATTGCTCATATGGATTCCCATTCTTATATATGTGCATATGCAGATGCGTGTGAACTAAATTGTATAGATGTAAATGAACACCCCTCAAAACTTAAGCGTATATCCTCCCATTGGAAGCCCTGAAATTTTAAGGATACAAAGTACGAACTCTGCTATGACACCAGATGGTTATTCTCCCAAGATAAATGAGCAGCGAAATAAAGGGGTTGAAGGAATGTTTGAAGAATGACCAACCTTCCAGAGTGTGTTGTATGTTTCCGGATGAAAAGTCACTGACACAGAAATCTCAATGGATGTATCTGATTCAGTAATCTGTAGGATATGTGAGGAAAGTGTTCCCGTTGCTCATCTGGACTCCCATTCTTATATATGCACATATACAGATAAGTGTGAAGTAAATTGTGTAGATGTAAATGAACGCCTTTCAAAACTTGAGGAATTACTGAACAGATTATCGAGTCCTGAAACTTGAGCCCTTATCCTCCCACTGGAAGCCCTGAAATTCTAGAAACCACCTTTAAACTTATCGTAATAACTATTTATATCATCAAATAAAACTCAGATAGCTAATTAAAATAGCAAAAGTTCTGTTCTAGCAGTCTTGTGTCATATGAGCCATGCTTCAATCATTTCCAGTAGCCGTGTGGCTCATAACACCATCACAAAGGAGGGCAGGCCTCCAAGGCTGAGGAAAGTGGATATAGGACCCACTCCCAGAGGTAACAAAGGCAAGTTTTTTGACAATTTGGATTAGCTTCCTTTGGGAGTCTTGAGAAGAAAACTCGGTACATTGGAGAAGAGGTGAAGAAACAAAATATGGAATATAATAATGATTATTTGCAGAATGCAGAATGGCAAGGACGTCATTAGTAGTATGTCCAATACTATTCTCATGGTGAAGCTCCATTTAAACAGCAAAAAGATGAAAACAAGAACAAAACCGAAAACAATTTAAAAAGCAACTAAATATATCTGAAAAACCATAATATCAACCCGCAAAAAGAAAAAAAATCGCATTACCTCTTTAACCAAGTCTGAAACTTTTACTAACTTCAATGTTGTCTCCATAAGCAGGTGGAAGATTTTTGTACTTTGAGAGGTTTTTAGTTTGCAACGAACTTGAGAGAACTAAAAAATGATGATTTATTTGATCTGAGGTGATGATAAAAAGAGTAAACTTGTTGGAGTTATTGTTGTCCTAATGAATGTCACGTATTATTGAAGACTTGTCTGTTGTGTTCTCTTTCTTTCTCCTTCCCCCGCCCGCGGTTTGGGCAGTGGGCTTTGGCCTTTCCCTCGACTTGGTGCCTTTTCTTTCCTTAAATAGGATAGTCAACCCCAGGACTGTTAAGGTAATAAGCCTGCTGGAGGTGACGGCTAGGCTTAGAAATCTCAATATCAGTCTGTAGCTGTCTGCCTAGGTTATAAGTTATCCAAGTAAAATGAGAGAAAAGAGACCTGCATTTTTATTCCTCTGTATTACTACCACACGATTTTCATTTCAGGTGGAAGCTGTGATACATTTTGAAGATGACACTGAGGAGCTGCAACAATGGGATCAGCAGGTATTTTCTGCAAATTTTATTGGGACAATATCTAGGAAGAAGTTTACGGAATTGTGTGTTTTGAGCTTAAGTTTACATCTAGTGGCTCCTAACTTTGGCATTTGATTTGCCAGATCGTTGGCTTGTGTCAGGCTCTCAATGATATCCTAGATGGAATGGCAAAGAAGGGATTACCAATTCCTGTCTGAGTGACGCATAGTTGGGTGTTCGTTTAGTCAATGAAAAGTTAACTGTCCAGCCCCTTTCAGACTATTTGTGCAATTTTGTGTAATGCTCGCATCTCGCAATAGTCAATTGCATGCAGATTGTATTTCTCTGTATCCAATTTTCAGATTAGTTATATTTCTTTCAGTAACAAAGCTCTGGCAACTTGTCTAGGACCGAGTTTGAGCAGCAGCAGCGGACATTAATTCAATTTCTTTAGTTGAAAAATCATAAAAAAAAAAATTTAATGTAAATTAATTTGCTCAAAATCATAGCTCAACCAACCTCATTCTTCTCACTTTTGAATGAAAAGTAATATGTAGAAGTCCGCACGTAGAAATGTAAATCAGTCCAAAATCCGTTTAAGGCCATTTAGCTAGAGAAGTCAAAGAAAGCAGATATTGTGCAACTTAACGAGAAACAGCAACAACAATTAGGAGCAAATCAGGAGCCAAAAATAAAAAATAAAAACATGTTATCTCATTAAGTTATGAATGACAAAATAATATAAATCAAACTGAAATTTTAGTAAAAATAATATTTTAATTATATATCAAATATGAAAACGATCACTAATTTTTTTTAAAGATCAAATAGTTAGTATCTGTAAGTTGAGTTTGGATATAGTAAATCTGAGCCAAATTTAGAATTTTAATATTATAGAAATGAAATTATTTAAACGAAAATAATAGCTTATAAGGTGATTTTCGTTGTGAAATTGGTGATATAAATAAGTTGGTTCAATTATATAACGAAATATGGAGATTATAATTAAATTTTATGTATAAATTAATTAGTGCATAGACCAAATATTAATAAAGTAGAAAAACTAGCCTAAACATTAAGGCAAAACTAGATATCAAATTTAATATTAAAAAGCAAATGAGGTATTATGAAAATCTGAGATGGGTAAAGTTAAGAGAGAGGAAAGCCAAATATGAACAAAGAAGATTAAATTTGTATTTGATACCAGGGAAGTGTTTGTACCTCTTTTCTTGGGGAAATGTTTAAGATATGGAGGCACCATGCTTTCAAGGCATGGTAGCACTCCCCTCTGCAGAATTCAAGAACAGCCCACCTTTGCTTACCTAGAGAGAATGTCGTACGACCTGTAGCTTTGCTACCATCTACATGCAGTTGCAAGCGCAAACTGACTGCTAGAATCTAGTGACTCAGTAAAACATGCTTGCTCAGTTTACATTACAATAATACCACTTTATTTTCAAAAAAGGATTATCAGAAGAAACAAGAGCAACTAGTTAAGTCATAAATCCTGTTCGGAACAGATAAAATTATTTCATACATAGATACACGCCTGCACAGACATACTCCCAAGTGTCTCGGAAATTTGGTAAAGCCAACATCCAAATCGGAACTATACTATTCCTTCTTTTATCAACATTATTCCCCATTTGTGGGAAACAGTTTGAAACTTATAGTTTATACATTAAATTGTCGTTCTAATATTAATTATCCTCGTACATAATCATTATTTTTAACTGGAAAAGATTTCTATATCTCTGAAAGGGAACAAAACAATGCTATTCTAACTGTATTAGACTGCCTGATGATACTAGGAGAGTGAAAAAGAAGAAAAGGACGTGCATTTCTATGGGAGGAAAACTTGTGGCTGTTTAATTTTCTGCCGACACCAAAATCCCTAAGGTAGCAGTTTAGGCACTCTTTTCTGAATCATTTCTTTCTACCCGGGTACTCTTTTCTTCTTTCATTTTTCACCATCATAAAACCTTGTTTCCTGTGCGCATAGTTGACACTGTAGTCATGTTCCTAAACCCTTTGACGGGGAGGAGGAGCCTTTTGTAGAATCTTTCCCATTCTGTAAGAGCACCTCATGATTGATAGATGCCAACTGTGACAAATTCTGCAAAATATAATTTCATAAGAAAGACTAGCAGTTCTCAGAGATATTTATTGCCTACTAACTAACAGAAATTAAATGCTACAGTAAGCATTCCAATTAAGAAACATACGACTCTTTGGGATGCAAATCAGCAGAAGGTAGGAGAGGTCAAAATTCTAACCAAACACTGATACCTTGAAAGAGAAGTTCATGAGTGACAGATCAATTGAAGAAGCAAACTCTGTCAAGTCACCACATTCGTCCATCTAAACAAGAATGAAAATAACACAAATGATTAAGATTCAGAAGCTCATTAGAAAGAGTGGGCATATAATTCAGCTTTTTCCCAGATTTAACAAATTGGAAGCCAATTCCCTCCAGCTCCCTGGATCCAAACCAGAACAAATCTTGCTGTCTTTTAGACCTGTCAGGATTGAGCTTCATACATGGGTTCAAAAATATTCTCAAGGCAGCTAAGAGAAGTTGTTGCTTTTTGACTAGATAAGAAGTTCTAATTTGTGACACTGTTGCATTTACCTCATCTCCAGAATCCGAACACAAGTCACAACTGTCAGCACCAGAATTGCTGCAATGTTCATCATCAGGCACTCCAGAAGATATATGACTAAATCGTGAAACAAAGTAGCTCGTGTCATCTATACTGTCAGGTTGCGGTACAAACACAGCCTACAAACAAAATTAAATAATGACAGTTAAATTATAGAGGAAGTCCTTTGGAAGATAAAAATTAAAGCATCTATATATCATCGCCTATCATTACATGGAAAAATGACTTTGTCCAAGTCGGCAGAATAATCCACCATTTATGCCAATGAAATAAACACAAGCATGATGGAAATTCGACTTCTAGAAATTGTACAATAACACATAAAAGCAAAATCCAAAACTTGGAGCTGATAAATTCATGATGACAATCAAATTTTGTCATTTCTGCTCAATATGCAGAATCTTTCATAAACACTGCTCTCCTCCTGGATGATCTCACTTGCTGTGTTCATTAAGTATTCTCATCAAAAAAAGATTATTGTAAAAACGTATTTTTTTGGAATTGTGTTCTTTCTACTTATTTAACTACTTTTAGATATGTTTCTCATTGTATCAAGTACTGTAACTGCACAAGCATTATGCATTATGGATGAACAAAGCAACAAAAACCCTTCAATAAATGTTAGATGATGATTTGACACCCCGTAGCACAAGAATTGTCTGAGATCCTGGATTCATGCTTACCTTCTGCAATGCAAGGTTGTCCCAGTTGACTCCTTTCAAGAACGAATGAGATTTTACCTGTAATATAGTCCAGAATGTCAAGAATAGAGACCTTGAAATTACTAGAATGAGAGTATTATAATAAATAACCCAGAAGCAGTAATGTTGCTTTGCTAAGTGAATATTTTAAGTGAAAAATAACCTCTGCAGATCCATTTGCTCCTAATCGCTGATTTGGATCATGAATAAGGAACCTATAAAGAAAGCAATGAAGCTTAATAAAATCATTTTACTGTTAAACAATAGTTCTTGACGTAGTTTCATGATAGGAAAAGGAAAAATTGCGGAGCTGTCAAGTCTTTTACTTTCTATTTTCTATTTTCAATTTTCTATTTCTAAGAGTCATCAAATATTTGTAGAATATTTGTCAATTTGAAGAAAATTTCTAACAAAAAACGCTTTCTAACAAAAAACGCTTGTTTTGAATAAATAAAGTTTTCTTACAAATGAGAAATTTTGCATATTTAAAGAATGTCAATATTTCTCATAAATAACTGATGGAGAACAAACGGATCTTAATTTGAAAGAAATTTTTTATTGAAGTAATTTTTTGTATTATCATTTTTATTTTACCCTTTAAGTTCATTAGGTTATTTATGTTTTATTTAGGCATTAAAATATTTTAGTTTTCTTTTTGATTTTTAAATATTTTAGGAATTAGAACTTTTTAAATGTCATTTTTATAATTCTCTTTATTTGTTGTAATTATTAAATGTAAAGGCTAACAACTACGAGAAAAAGAGATGGTGATGAATTAAGACCTTCTGTTAAAATTGTATTCCCTATTATCTCTCCCTTAGAATTAACCTCAATTCTCCCTTATAGATGTCCATTCATTATGCTTCTCTATATTTTTTCACCTTTCTCCCTATTTTCCGCTAGCCTATCTTTATTCTTCTATTTAGACAATAAAATATTTTAGTTTTCTTTTTGATAGTTTTTTAAATATTTTAGGAATTAGAACTTTTTAGATGTCCTTTTATAATTCTCTCTATTTATTGTAATTATTAACTGTAAAGGCTAGCAACTACGAGAAAAAGAGAAGATAGTGATGAATTAAGACTTTTTGTTGAAACTGTATTCCCTATTATCTCTTCCTTAGAATTAACCTCAATTCTCCCTTATAGATGTCCATTCATTATGCTTCTCTATATTTTTTCATATTTCTCCCTATTTCTGCTCGCCTATCTTTATTCTTCTATTCTATTGAAAGATGGCAGTTGGACGGGTTTGGGGTGGGTTTTACAAAAACCAAACCCACTTGGGTACAGAATATATTGCTCCAAAACCGCACCAAGCATGGGGGCAGGTTTTATAAATTTTCCTTTTTTGCACCCCATAGTTTTACAATGAAACCCATCTCGCTCACCTTTGGATGGGATTTGGCTGCTGGAAGACTGGAGTGTGAAGATGAAGATGAAGGAAGAAGATTAAGGAAAAAGATGAAGGAAAAAGATGGAGGAAGAGGAAGGAGGCACCTGTGTGGAGGGGAGAAAGTGAAGTCGTCTTTTAGAGTTCTTTTCCTTTATATATTTTTAATGATTTTATATAATATAAGTTTATTATCACAGCAGATCATACTTTCATATGATAAATCGTTTGGAAATTGGATAAGTCCGGAGAATTCACTGTAAGATCTTACTATAAAATACTAATGGAGGATTCCATTGAGGACTGTTGGAATTTTCACTATAAGCAAATCTGGAAAACCAAAATCCCTCTGCGTGTTGCAACCCACATTTTTCGTTTAGGAAGCTTGTCAGAAGAAGATTTTTATCATTGATAAACCGAGAATTAGAGGCCAGATCCTTGTGAATGAGTGTTATCTGTGTTTGAAGGCTGAAGAGTCTTGTAATTATTTGTTGCTATGGTGTCCTGTTGCACACAATTTATGATGTATGATCTATGGTTTACTGGAGATCAATTGGATTATGGCGGGATCGGTTTGAGAGAAAATTTGGGATGGGTTATGTATAAAAAGAAACATTGCTAATATTATTGCATTGACTACGTTTTGGGTTATTTGGAAAGAAAGAAATTTTAGAGTTTTTGAGGATAAAGTTAGCAGTCTGTATGATTTAAGAGATAGATGGATGCATTACTTTGAGTCTATTTTGTTAGGTCATGATATCATCAGTGATGAAGATTTTGGAAATGTCATTGATTTACTAATTTTTATGTAAATATTTTGTACATGAGCAGTACCCCCATTTTGATATTTTATTAATATAATATATTACAATTTTTATTTCAAAAAAATAATATAAGTTTATTTTTTAATTAATAAATAGCGGCTGATGGACTTTGAACAGGTTTTTACAATGCAAACCCAAACTCGCCTCACTTCAGTTAGACAAATTAAAAAAACTTGCACTAACTCGCCCCTTTTAGTTCAGTTTTGATTAAAACCCACAATGGTCTCCATTTGAGCGGATGGTTTTGATAGGTCATGGATTTTTTTGCTACACCTAATTCTATTCCCAATGTTTTTCTTTTACTTCTTTATTTTGTAGGATAATTATAGTTCTATCATTACTTGTCCTACATACGTAACTTCAAATAACTTGTTATGAGGTATGACTGACAAAATCAATGAATTTATTGCATTATATATAATATATAGGAAATATATAAAAAAAAATTAGTTACCTAAATAAATCTCCTAAATAAAATCTCTTTGACAGAGGAATTTTCCCAATAAAAAATCCATGATTTCTAGAATAATCAATCCTAAAATTATGGATGGTACCAAGCGTATCTTTTAAATCTCCCTCTTAAGTTGGTTAGGAAATATCTTCCATTCCTATCTTTGTACCTCAAATCGTGTTAATAAGTCCACTGTAAACATATCTGCCAATTGGTTTCCTATAGAGCAAAAAATGTGAAAGAATGAATTGTTGTATATCTTATTGAGTATCAAAAACCTGTATATACAAGTCCCTAGAAACCATACAAGGAAACCCAATTAATTACAAATATTATGAAGACTACAAGCGGTATATATTGTGTACAGATATACTTCCCAACACTCTCCCTTAAACTGGTAAATAAATATTATCCATTCCCAACTTGCCAATGATAGTATGAAATCCTAGATTACTCAATCCTCAGGTCAATACATATGCAAGTAGCAACGTAATGAACATGTATGATGTGCATATCAATCTCTTACCAAATTCAATATGTTTCGTTCTATCATGTTATATCGGGTTGTGAGCAAAGCTCATTGTTGACTTATTATCATAATAAAATCTTACAGGTCCATTCCATAAAATTTCTAAGTCTTCCAAAACTATCTTCAAAAGAGGAGCTCACACATCCCTTGAACTATAGCCCTAAACTCTGACTTGACAGAGGTTCAGAATACTATATTTTACTTTTTATTTCTCCAAGCCATTTGGTTTCCTCCAAAAAAGGTACAATATCCAGATGTAGGTTTTTCTCGGCTAATGAACTTGTATAGTTAGTATCCATATATGCTTCAACAAGCAATCTATTGTTTCTCTTGAACATAATTCCTTTTATTGAAGTATCCTTTAAGTAATGGAATATCCTATAGGCAGCTTGTAAATGCACTTCTCTCTACTTGTACATAAATTAATTCATTATACTCACTGCATATGTAATATATAATCTTGTATATGACAAGTCTAGTAACTTTCCTAATAGATTTTGATACATTTCCTTCTCTACTTGGGGATTTTCCTCTATCAGTCCCAATTTGTGATTGGGGTCTATCGGTGTATTGACAAGTTGATTTGTCAGTTTACCAGTTTTCTTTAAGAGATCTAGAAATGTTTTTATTGAGATATAAATATTCCAGCCTTCAAGTGGGCCACCTCTAGCTCGAGGAATTATTTTAATCTTCTCAACTCTTTAATCTCAAATTCCTTAGCTAAATTGCTTAAGGATCTTCCTCTCCTCTTTATCATTTTCTCTAACAATTATATCATCTATATACACCAGTAAGGCTATGACTCCCTTTGCTTTGCCTCCGATGTTTGATGAATAAGGTATAGTTTCTCTGACTCTGTTTGTAACCAATTGATGGTATTACTCTAACAACCATGCTTAGGAAGATTGTTTAAATCCATACAGTGCCTTTTTGAGCTCGCATACTTTATTCTTCTCTCCTCCTTTGGCGAACTTGAGGGAAAATCTCCATATAAAGACATTCTTCACATTTAACTACTGCAACTACCAATTAAAGTTAGTAACTAAAGAGGGCACGATAAGTACCATATTCATCTCTCCAATAGGTACAAAAGTTTCTTAATAGTCAATTTCAAATATTTAAGAATACTAGCAACTAATCTTGCCTTGTATCTCTCCATGGTTTCATCATACTTATATTTGATAGTGAACACCCTTCTGCATTCTATAGATCTTTTCCTATTAGGTAGATCTACCACCTCCTAAATCTAGTTTTTCTCAAGTGCCAATATTTCAATACTCATAACATTTTTCTATTTCTCAGTGGTTAAAACCTCATAAAGTTTTTGGACTTGATATTGTGTTCAGGTTCATAAGAAATTTTTATGAGCTGAGAAACAATTTTCATTCCTCATTGGTTAAAGCCTCATATAAAGTTTTTGGAATGGATATTGTATTCAGGCTCATAAGAAATTTTTTCTGAGCTGGGGAACAGTTTTCATTCCTCATTGGTTAAAGCCTTATATAAAGTTTTTGAAATGGATAATGTGTTCAGGTTCAAGCTGGGGAACAGTTTTCAAATGACGCAAAATTGGAAACTGAATGGAGTATTTGGTGCATTCTCTAGTCCTTTTCCTAAGTGCAGTAAGAAAACAGTATAACAAAGAGAATGATTCTAAAAGTTTACCTCACTTCTAGTGACCAGCTCGGATTCTTGTATATGCCATCTTCCTTTACATTATGCAATTTAGAGTATAATAGTACACAACTCTCAATTCTTGTAGTTTTTAGTTTATTCCCTGAAAATACTTACCACTTATATTTCTTTAATTATAGTCATGACCATAATACTATTTCTTTAATTTATGATACTTTAGTACAAAGAAAGTTGATTAATCAGGAATATAGTGTTTTCTTGTGCATGAAAAATAAAAGCATGTTTAAATGGTTTAGAATACTTCTAAAAACTAGCAGAGTTCTTAAATGGCACAAAATCATGATCTAGAATTAGAAGGTTAAAATTTTTTTTTTTTTTCATTTTAAGCAAATAAAGTTTCCACTTATAAACTTTTTCAAACTGTATTAAATTGCTTCAAATATTATATTGTGATATTCGAGAAGGAAATATTTCAGGGTAGTAATTTCCATAATCTATTCAACATCAGGAGGGCAAGCTTCCTCCCCTACTCTGCCAGGGGCTAGAGATAGTAGTCAAATGTGGACAGAGAATATCCAGCAGATAACCAGATGATAATGCATATAAAGAAATTCAGGGGTGAATCTACGACAGTTGAAGTCTTTGTCAAACAAACAAGGGATAAAGAAAACCTGTTAATAAAATCCTGAGCCTCATAGGACATATCACCAGGAACATGTGGCCAGGGGATTTTTCTGTTAAGAATGTTGTCGAATATGATCTGTGTAGTCATGAAGAAAATGGTGAAAGCATTAAAATATGCTACTTTCAGATAAGCTCATCAGGCACAGAAGTACAGCGCAAACAGATCACACATTGCTGAATGATATAATATGCAGATACAAATCAGAAGAGAAGTATGAAGAAAAGATGGAAATTTTAATTATCTATCCTATGCAACATTACCGGGTACACTATTTTGCACATGTAAATTAGCAAAGAATAATGCTATATGAACACATTACAATAAGCATTTTGCTAAAATTCATATATAAACGGAAAAAGAAAGAAAATCTGACAACAGGGGAAGCTTTAAGTCACAGATGTTGCATACATGGAATCCTTTTGAAGGTTAGTACAGACTGGTAACAGTACTTCCTAGATTAAGTTGATAGAACCAGGGAATAGCATGTAATAAGCACATCAGTGACTTCAGCAGATGAGCATGATTGGCGATCGAGAAATTCGGAGCAGCATTCCAGAAAATAAAATAGAAACTCTACTGCATTTTGCTCAAAAGTCCAAAAATATACCACAAGATTATTTAATGCTTAAAAGTCCGATACAGCTCAATTGATCAAAGAGAGCCTGTCACTAAGTTCAACATTAATGTTTGCAATTGGTAAGCATGAAGCACATTACTGAATGAAGGTAAAAGTTCTTTTCAATCATATCTACCAAATAGTCTCATACTGACACTCCACCCACAAACTAAGCAAAAAAATCTCCAGAGCTAGAGAACAATGGAAGTGCTTGTTTATTTAAATGTTAGCATTTTTTGAATACTATAAATACCTCTGGACGATCAGCACTGAATGGTGGAATTCCAGTGATCAATTCAAATAAAATTATTCCCACTGACCACCAGTCTGCCGCATACCCTGCATGAAAGTCAAGGAGGTAATTCAGCTGCCTAGAAGACTTAGATAAACCTCATTGAAGAAGTGTTCAAACCATGCTCAGTCCCAAGAAGAATCTCAGGGGCCAGGTAGTCAGGCGTCCCAACAGCAGAGTGTCGATTTGTATCCTCTGTTTGTTGAGCATACAAACTATGGGCATCTGATGCGCTAGTTAAGTCTGTCTCAGGTCCTGACAAATTGATTGTCTGGTTTATAAGGCCAATTTTGGATAGCCCAAAGTCTGTAAGCTGGTAAAATTAGAATCGATTAACATGAAGCTGCTAGCACAACAAAATGATCATATAGATCTAACACTTAAAACTGCAAACTTCAGACCTACACAGAAATGCATGTAAGACGAAGGATAATAAATTGAGGCTATATGTCCAGAAAAAGAAAAAATCATAAAAATCATCTACTAGTAGATTCCGGACAATTACCTAGCGAATATGTATATTCATTCACACTTAAAAGGAAAATCCTTTGACAAACTCATTTTAGCCTGTGAAATAAAAGAACATAATATCTGAAATCTCCATATGGTACAAAAGCAAAATTTTCTATTGACAGCTCAAATTGAGATCTAGAGATCCCTACATTAAGTGCCATATTTCAAGAACTATTGACTTTCAAAAGCACTTTTGCATGCTCCTAAGAATCATTCTTAAATTTACTACAGAAAAGAATGTTTGAACTAAAAATTCCTATCTTAAAAAAAAGGGACAGGGGGAGAGAAGACAACGAGGATAAAAGAGAACTATAAGGGGTATTAAAAAATTTAGAAGGAAAAGAGATGTAAGGGGATAAAAGAAGATAAACTAAAGTGCTAAACGTTAGTGCAAATGGTGAGCACCTAGAGAGGTGAATAAGGATCCAAATAAAATGATCTAATTTTATAAGGGCAGAAAAAAATGAATTTAGAATAAAGTAAACTAAAAGTAATATGAATAAAATTAACAGAAAGATTTCTATTGGTTCAGTCCCCTAAATAATCTCTATCCATTTGCTTGACTACCCAGCATTAATAAAAAAATGTGAAGCCCTTCATTGAAATGAAGATTATAAAATATGTTTTGATTGCTTAAGAATAATGTAGGAGAAAGAATAAATTAAGTTAAAGGGTATAAAAGGCAAATACACCTTATACAATTAATTATCTACTTTCTTTTTCATCAGAGAAAATCTGTATATATAGAGTTGTGATATTCAATAAAAAAATACATCCAACATTCTTAATATAGTATCAAAACCCTGCATAAAGAAATTCTATACTCTTATATAAATCCTAATTCAGTTTTTATTGAGAAATAGAAAAGAAAAATCCTGAAGATGTTAGGCCAGCCTTCATAAGCTTACCACCTTAGATCAGTCGTCAAGCACCGCCACCAACCACCAGCAGCAGCCAAACCAGCCTTCATCACCTACACCAGATCCAGCCGCATCTCCAGTCACGTGCATTCCTGTCTAGCTGCATCTCCACCATATGTCTGCACAATGCGCGACTTCCCCTTTGCCACATGAATAGAGCTACAGTCGCGCATTGTCTGCCAGCAGTTCCATAGTCTATCATCCATCCTGTTGCTCAGACGTGGCTACGCCACCAGAAGTGATAAGTGAGATGCGAAGACATGGTTGTCCACTAGCCGCCTGCTCCTCTGTGCCACTCTCTGCTTCACCAGAAGCTACCTCCTTGCATTCACGCAAACCCTAACCGTGCTTCTGTCCCTTAGTTGCACAATCCATCCAAACACACAGATTTAACTGCTCCCGATGTGGTTAGAATCATGAACACCGATCCACGCCACCATTTTTTTTTTAAATAAAAAGTGTGAGAATTATATTAACAAGGCATCAAAAGGGAGTACGACTCATATACAAAAAATTTACAAGTGTGTTAAAATATCTATGACGATTCCAAAATCCACATCTCTAATAATATCGTGACCTAATAAAATAAAACCAAAATAGTGGAGACATTTGTCCTTTAACCTGTACAGGTAAGTTTCCTTACCCTCAAACGCTTTACAATTTCTTTCCTTCCAAAGAATCTAAAAAACAGTCATGGCTTTACAGTGTTTCTTTTCCTATCAAGCCCTTCCCAGGCCCACAACTCCTCAATAATAGATCCCGCAATCACCCAATTGATCCCCATCAAGCCATAGATCATGAAGCAAAAGCCCGTAGCCACTGGACACCACAGCAGC